TAATGGTCTGTCTTTCCACATTGGAAGCAAGCATCACTTATATGCTTGTTTTCTTTGGCCTTGTGAATACTTGATTTACCCCTAGTCTATCTTTTGCTAGGCCGGAAACTATTTTCCTTTTGTTATCTTCTTCGACTTTGAACTATTCTTAGTAAAAGATATAGAAACTACCAAATGCAAAACAAACTTCTCTTCCTTTATAACCGACTCGTATTACAACATGTTGACCAACTCCTTCAAAAGGTGATTCAACCATATTCTTGTTGAAACTAATTATGAACGTTTCATAATAGTTAGTGAGTGATGGAAGTATGAGATACCGAGATCTCTGATGGGAGAACGACGTTGTGGTCACACAACTTCTTTAAGAGTGAGTCATCTTAAAACCATGCTTCAAGACCGTAGTCCTCTAGCTCAGTCTAAGAGACATCAACTCCTCAGTTGTCGCGAACCTCATTGCCATAATGTTCTCACCACACACGATCTCAAGGCGAGCCTATATGTCATTAACATAAAGGTGGTTCTCATAGTTCCTTGCTAACTTGGGCGACTACGTGCCATCGTATAACACTTCGTCGTAATGGACACCCTTCTTCCACTTCTAATAAGTGGTGGTTCCCTAGTGAGTCGAGTTATCATGAAGTTTGGTCGGGGTATTTATTTGAGTATGCACAATTTGCTCTTGGAGCAAACACGACAAACGAAGATTCCATGGATTACAAACCGACAGAACACACAGGACATCCATGACTACTCAAGCGCTCGAATCCCCTACTACAATGCACAGACTTCACACTAGATTTCGGACTGCACGAACGTTGGCCCTTGGAGCGGTCCGCGGTAAGACTCAGGGACAGGTCACGATACAGTCGGTCCTCTAGTGAAGTCACGGTGATGTCTGGGTCTTAAGGACTAATGGTGCACAACTATATCATAGAAACCTATTACTCGATGATTGGGAACCACTTATAGATTTCTAGGCGAGGGAGTTCAGTGAACTCATCTAATATGAGCACCCACTCAAGTATGCCGATGTCACAACACCGATAACTGATGAGACGCAGTACACATATACTAAGTGCTAGTCTCAAAAGGGAAAGGCCGGTATCCTCATTATTGGCGTAACCCATCGACTAGGAACAAGGTTTAACAGTTACATTACATTGCTGAGTTATCTCACGATTCTACTAGATCAACTCACAGTAATAGAGTAACTCGTTAGGACTATATCTATGCTGCTTGCATGGGATAAGAGATATAAAATGCCAAAAGGTATTTTACCATTAATTTGAAATAGATTATTTACGAGTAGTAACGTGAGAAAACACAACACTTAGTTGGATTATTGGTCACATACTCTAACATATACGAGTAGTCATTAGTTTTCGAGTCGTGAAGAAAACATATTTTAGCCTCTCTCTCTCTCTCTCTCTCTCTCTCTCTCTCTCTCTCTCTCTCTCTCTCTCTCTCTCTCTCTCTCTCTCTCTCTCTCTCTCTCTCTCTCTCTCTCTCTATCTCTCTATGTCACAACGCTAAATATCCATTCGTTTTCTCATTAACAAGTTCGGCTATTTAGCCTTGAACTTGTTAATAAGAAAACGAATGGATATTGAAATGGCAAGGCGAAATGTTAGGGTACTAGGTCGCACAGAGTCCTCGAAACAAATCACGGCCACAAAACTTATTGAAACGCACAACGAGTTCATCGAGTTACAAGTACAAGCTGGCACAACACAAAGACCTTTTTACGAAATTAGAAAGTTTCTCAGCTGGTTGTTTACCGAGGCACAAACTTCTTCAATCAGCTTATATTGTACCCTTCATACCATATGAAGAAGATGTATATTCCAATTCTATACTTGTTTCATAACAAAATAAAATGATTTTAAACGCAAAACAAACCGCTGAGGGTAAACGCAAACCAGGCCAGACATTAATATAGAATAAATGATAACAATACTGTTGTGGATTCAGGCCCACATATAATAACAAGTCACACAAATATGAAAATCAAACCAAGAAGAACACACAGATACCACTGTGTTGACTCAACCGACTATAGATACCGTTGCAGATAACACAACTACAGTACCACATATCTAAAACTGAAAGCAATGGAACAGATAAATAACACAATATTTAAAGTGGTTCGACCTGTATTACCACAGGCCTACATCCACTGTGCAGAGAGAACAAAATCCACTAGATCAAGAAGGTTACAGATTACAAGATAGTGATTACATTCAAGCTCTCAACAGCTATTTCACCTAAGCTGTATTGACACTCCCCTGTGTATACATCACTGTTTCTCTCTTGTTTCCCAGCCCCAAATCTCACAAACCCTGTGAAGATTTCTTTCTTGCTTTCCCTCTAGCTTCTTCTTTTGTTCTTGAGAGTTTCCTCTCTTTCCAGCCCCTCAAGCCTTATCCCCTTGATTGGCCTTATCCTCCAAGCCTCTCCACCAAGTGCTTTATATATGCAACAAACCCTAGCAAAAAGCAAACTTGGTCCCCAAGCAAATCACTGTGAGCTCGACAGGTGTCAACCACTGTCAGAGTGGTCCTCACGGGTTCTGTCTTCTAGTGTAACAGCTCCTTACATTTTTCAGCTCATACTTTGACTTTTACTTTAACTAATGCACCAGATAAAGTATCCACTTGGCATGTACACGTGGATATGTGTCACATAATAACAATTCTCCACCTTGACTCATACTCCACGTAGGCTCCTCTTACCACTCTCTCTCTCTCTCTGCACCCTAGCTTCTAACCAAGGTAGCTCTGTGACACCCCCTAGCAATAGTATGGCAAACCAAGACGGTTTGCCATGCACGGAAGCTTTATATGCATTGGGTAAGTATTTAGATATATGGGGAGACCCCAAGATTTAAGAAAACGTTTTTCAAGAACTAAGACCTAAGGACGAGGTGGGATTTGGAAGAAAAAAAAGTTTCGTCAAAGGGATTTAGTAGAATAGGTGAGCTTATATCTATCTACTCTATTCGTCCTTTATCGAAATTGTAAGTGGTGTCACCTTGATAATACATATTGATACTAGATTAGAGTCCATAGTTAAATCAACATATTAACTCTACATAAAATGGACCTTACTTATAGAGAAATGTTATACATGGACCATAATATAACAAAAAGGGGTCCATCTTCGGAGGAATTAGCCTCATTTACCACGGATAATAATACACATGAGCTACTACGGAAATAGTAATTGTCCTAAGGACAATATACACAAAAGATAGTACTACAAGCATTATAAGTAGATCCTCCATACGAGCCAAAAACCCGGAGTCGGCTTCTCGAACCGTCGAATAGTCCAATCCGGTGGAGTGAGTAGTACTAGTACCTGCAAATGGAGAATATCTATATGAGCTAACAAAGCTCAGTAAGGATCTCGAAAGGTACCGAGAATTTAAAATATAGTCATACTACGTATATTATATTATAGCAACACAAGTATAACGAAATTAAGTATAAATCACGTTTCTAGAACTTAGAGTTCGTGAACCTTTAGAAAGAAAGACTTTTCATTTTATCGGATCCGATGAGAAATTAACTTCTTTACTTAGAAAATAAGAAGATTATTCTGAGCCCGTTTTGGTGGAATCAAACCACCCAACTGTAGTATCTATGGTTGGAATACCGGCCCCCCTTATCCTTTCTCATCTTTTCTAAGTATTTCATTAATCTCCCCAATTTATTTTACTTAATTTTAAAAGTGGCATGGCCGAAATATTTAGAATTTCATTTGGGTACATAAAGATACCAATATTCTACAACAACCCATAATAATTTGAAACACGACAAGACATCACAAATATCAATCAAGTGCCAATTAACCACATACTACACAAAAATTTAACTATTATCATATATCAAGTTATGTATTCATGCATGTTTACCCACATATAACCTTAATTCAAACAAGACTATTAAAGACCTACTTAATTTCTATGTTTTCCTTAAGCTACTTAATCCCAAAATTTCTTTGCTAATTAATTTAGGATCAAGAAAACATATCAATTTGGAAAATTTCCAGTATTCAGCACAACGCCCCTTATCTTCTGGAAATTACAGTTCTGACCCCAAAGTTCAAGACTCATACATGCAATTACCCTAAAAGTTCAAAATCCATATTTTCACGAAAATCAACCCTTAACTTATCTGAAATTTCAATCAATGCAGAAAAATCCAGTTAGGAGTTATTTTATGCAGATTTTTCGAAAATTACATATTTCACCCTAGACTCTCTAGATCTATTCATGCAAGACCCTTAGAAATTCCCAAAAATCCTTTTTCTTACAAAACTTTTTAGAAACTGACATTGTCCTTTACTAAGTACTGAAAAACAGATTTGGAAATCAATTCAAAACTAACTTCTCAAAAATTACAGATTTGACCCAAAATTCTTTCGAATTACACATGCAACCACACTATGATTTCAAAATCACCTTTTTCAAGAAGAACCCCTAACAAATCCGGAATCCTTGTTCAATATATGCAGAAAAACGAAGCTAAAATTTTTATTTATGCAACAACTTCGAAAATTCTATTTTTCACCCCAAAACCTATAGACCCATACATGCAAGACCACTAGGAGTTCAAAAATTACTTTTTCTTGTAAAACTTTCCTAAATCTGGAATTTTCGTTCAATAAATGCTAAAAACCAGTTTTCAAAACTCATATGAATCTGACTTCTCACAAATTACAGATCTGGCCCAAAAGTATGCAGATTTACACATGCAACCCCAAAACTTTGCCCAAATTAATTTTCTTCACAATTTTCGAAATAACTAAAATTTCTTTGAAAGCCAATAACTCAAATCCACCTTTTATGACCTCTGATCATACATGCAGTGATACAAATCATATGAACTAACAAAAAGAAACCATTAAATGCAAGAACAACATAAAACAAGAATTAGGGGTGTCTTTTAATTTAATTTTGAAATTATGTTCTTGATACTTGATACCTCCATTTGCAGCAAGGATTTCGATTCCTTACCTCAAAAATAGAAAGGAACAAAAAGCTAGTTGAAAAGGGGAAGGTTCTTGAGAGCCTTCAAAGGAAACCGAAAGTTAGAAGAAGAAAAGGAACGAAGAAGAAAGAAGGGATTGAGAACTCGAATGGCAGCTCTTACCTCTTCAAGTATGGAGATTCAACCAAGCTACTTTGATGGAGAAGGGCACGGTATAGATTTCAAGATGAGAGGTGTTTTCACTAGTGAAAGGACACCATGTATTTATAGTATTTTTGGAGTATTCAAGGGCAAGGGTTAGATAGGGAATTCTCATCTTTGGCTTGAGAAATATCTTACTGATTTAGGGGGGTGGTTCGAGCTTGATGGAGCTGATGACAATGGTGGTTTCGGTGGTTTGAAGAAAAGAGGAATATAAGGGAGAGAGAGAGAGGGGTGAGGCAGCCTGAATGAGAGAGAGAGAAGGAGACTCTTGGCCTTCTAATAGGCATGCTTTGAGGTGGAGTGTGGGATTGGCCTTAGTAGGGGTTAGGCTAGGCTTAGGATTATCATTTTTATAATTATTTAATAATCCCCCCCTTAAACACACATACATACATATACGGCACCCACATATATATGTACATATATATCATGTATTATGATAATTATGCTAAGTCCTAGTCATGCAAATATGATTCACCCGCACACATATGCACAAAAGGCCACATATAGAACACTAATCTAGCACATAATAATTCAAGTATAGCCCTACAATTAACGGAGATTTAGTATCTAAGTGATGTTAGATTTGTTGTTTAGTAAGTATCGTGTTTTGAAAACGTGGGGTGTTACAAGCTCCACCTAGCTTCTTACCAAGCTAGCACCTCCTAGCTTCTTACCAAGCTAGCACTGCCCCACCTAACTTATAACCAAGCTAGCACTGCCTACAGCAGCTCACCAAGTCCATACAGTGATTGAACTTTGAAATCGGTAAAGACTTTGTTCGTATATCCGCAGCTATCTCAGCTGTATGCACCTTCTCCACATTCACATCAACGTGTATAGACACTTGATGTCTTAACAAGTGAAATGTACTTTGGGTGTCATAGTACACGTTCACATTCTCCTGCTCAATCCTCAACTCCTGAACCATCCCAATCATCCACATAGCTTCTTCGACTGCCTCAGTCACCGCCATGTATTCAGCTTCTGTCCTAGACAAAGCTACCACTGATTGGAGGCATGACTTCCACCTCACTGCAGTTCCAAAAAGAGTGAACACATATCCTGTTAAGGATTTCCTTGTGCCTACACTACCAGCATAATCTGAGTCCTCAAAACACTTTCCCGCATCACCTTTTATTCCATCATTCCGCTTGAATAGAAATCCAATATCAGCAGATCCCTTCATGTATCTCAAAGTCCAATTGAGTGCTTCCCAGTGTGTCTGCCATGGATCTGTCATAAACCTGCTGATCACACTTGTAGCATGTGCCAAATCTGGCCGACTGCACATCATGCAATACATCAAGCTCCCAACTGCATTAGCATAAGGCACATTTGCCATGTACCTCTTCTCTTCATCAGTTGCAGGTGCTTGGGACATTGAGAGTCTGAAATGATGCCCCATAGGAGTAGACACTGCCTTGGACTGATGCATGTTGTATCTCAACAACAGCTTCTCAATATAAGACTGTTGGGACACGAACAAGTGACCACACTGTCTGTTCCTCACTATCTGCATTCCCAAGATCATCTTGGCAGACCCCAAGTCTTTCATGTCAAACTCAGATTTCAGCTTCTCCTTGATATCATATATCTCCTCCTTGGACTTGCTTGCAATGAGCATGTCATCATCATACAGCAACAAGTAAGCTCTCACCCTTCCTTCTGCATTCCTCACATACACACCATGTGAGATAGTTGTTGTAACATTCACCTGTTCCAACCCAAGGTCATACCGAGCTACTAGTGCCAACATGATTCTGATTGAGGAATGTTTAACCACCGGTGAAAAGATTTCATCGAAATCTATCCCTTTCATCTGTGAGAATCCCCTAGCAACCGATCTAGCCTTGTACCTAGGCTTCTCCACCCTAGGGATTCCCTCATTCTTCTTGAAGAGCCATCGACAACTCACCGGCTTCTTCCCACTTGGTCTATCCACCAAGACACAAGTCCCATTCTTCTTCACTGAAGCTATCCCTTTCCTCGTAGCTTGAATCCTCTTCCGCGTTTCCTTCCCATTTGCTTCCGGGTAAGTGGCTAGCTCACCTTTTACCTCAAAAACAACATTGAGTGCAAATGAAATGATATCAGCTTGTCCAAACCTTATAGGTGGTTTAATTAGCCCATTGGTTCTACCTCTGGCCAAATGGTAATCCCTCAGATCAACCTCTGATTCAGAACTCTCACTGTGATCAGATTCTTCCTGAGCATATGTGGTCACAACTTGCTCAACTGTGGTCTCATGCGGAAACTCCACCTCAATCTGAGTACCATCACTTGAAGTTCCTTGAGTAAACTGATATCCAATCATCTTTGCCATCTTCGATTCATCAAAGACTACATCCCTACTCACAATACACTTCCCTTGACCAGGTTTCCGACACCATAACTTTAACCCCTTAACCCCGGTTGGATAACTAATAAAGGCACATTTGAGGGCTCTTGGTTCTAGTTTATCACCTTTATGGGCATAGGCTAAACTACCAAAGACCTTCAAATTAATGAAATTAGTAGGCTTACCATACCATTTATCGTTTGGAGTTTTAAATTCACTTGTTGTGGTGGGACTTCTGTTCTGCTGCTGTTGTTGCCACAGCTTCTCCCCAGAACATCTTACCAATAACCGTCTGACCAGACATATGGTAGATCCCATTGTTTCTGAATGCCTTCATAACAACCACAGACCCCTTAGACACCTCCAGAATGCCATTGTCCCCATTGAACGTGTGGCCACTCTTCTCAAAGACTCCATGAGATATCAAGTTCCTCTTGACCTGAGGAACAAATCTCACTTCCGGTAGGACCCTCTCAATTCCATCAAACATCTTGATTCTTACCGAACCAACCCCTTTCACATTGCAAACATCATTATTCCCCAATAAGATTGTACCCCTCTCATTCAACTCGAGAGTTTCAAACCAGTCCTTATTTGATGTCATGTGAAAAGAACACCCTGAATCCAATATCCAATCCTTTGTTACATCACCTTCAGTGACAACAAGGACATCGTAGGATTCAAATTCCTCAGCTATAATACCAGCTTCACCATTGTGCCTTTGATCTTCTGCTTTCTTTTCCGAGCAATCCTTCTTGAAGTGACCAGGCTTCTTGCACCTATATCACTCCCACTGACCCCTCTTTACCGGAGTCTTCTTGCCCTGCGCCAACTTAGATATGTTCTTCGGTTTCTTGTCCCTGAAGTCTCTCTTCTCAGATCTGCCACTGACAATGAGTCCCTTTCCAGATTCATGAGCTTCCCGTTCAAGTTTCTTCTGCAATTGCTTTGCCTTGATTGCAGATTGCACCTCTTCCAGTGATACGATTTGTTCCCTTCCATATACTAGTGCATCCTTGAAATGCTCATAAGACTTTGGAATAGCATTGAGTAGCATCAGAGCTTTATCCTCATCCTCTAGCTTCACCTCAATATTCTCAAGGTCACCTTGAATCTTGTTGAAATCATCTATCTGTTCCGACAGAGGCTTGTCATCACTCATCTTGAAGGAATACAGTCTTTGTTTCAATTAGAGTCTGTTTGTGAGAGATTTGGTCATATACAGTTGTTCCAACTTCAACCAAACGCCTTGTGCAGTGGTCTCTCTAGCTACATCCCTCAGAGCCTTGTCACCAAGGCTCAAAATGATCGAGCTGTGAGCTCTATCCATCAAGTCATTCTTCTCCTTTTCTGACAAGGAATCCGAAAGCTCTTTGGCACCCTTCAAAGCATCTATCAACCCCTGCTGCACCAACATGGCTCTCATCTTCACCCTCCAAAGACCAAAATCACTAGATCCCGAGACTTCTCCAGCTCAAAATTGGTAGATCCCATATTGTGTGCTCAGATCTTCCCACAGACGGCGCCAATTGTAGTGGATTCAGGCCCACAGACAATAACAAGCCACACAAATATGAAAATCAAACCAAGAAGAACACACAGATACCACTGTGTTGACTCAACCGACTGTAGACAACGTTGCAGATAACACAACTACAGTACCACAGATCTAAAACTGAAAGCAATGGAACAGATAAATAACACAATATTTAAAGTGGTTTGACCTGTATTACCACAGGCCTACATCCACTGTGCAGAGCGAACAAAATCCACTAGATGAAGAAGGTTATAGATTACAAGATAGTGATTACACTCAAGCTCTCAACAGCTATTTCACCTAAGCTGTATTGACACTCCCCTATGTATACCTTACTGTTTCTCTCTTGTTTCCCAACCCCAAATCTCACAAACCCTGTGAAGATTTCCTTCTTGCTTTCCCTCTAGCTTCTTCTTTTGTTCTTGAGAGTTTCCTCTCTTTCCAGCCCCTCAAGCCTTATCCCCTTGATTGGCCTTATCCTCCAAGCCTCTCCACCAAGTGCTTTATATATGCAGAAAACCCTAGCAAAAAGCAAACTTGGTCCCCAAACAAATCACTGTGAGCTCGACAGGTATCAACCACTGTCAGAGTGGTCCTCACGTGTTCTGTTTTCTAGTGTAACAGCTCCTTACACTTTCCAGCTCATACTTTGACTTTTACTTTAACTGACGCACCAAATGAAGTATCCACTTGGCATGTACACGTGGATATGTTGTCACAGAATAACAAATACATCCCCAACGTTAAACAAATTTAAAAGTGCCTTAAAACACATAAACTCGAACCAGGTAACAACATTGACACTTTTTTTCCAATTAACCTCACAGCCAATTTCCTCTGTCAAGGTGAAAGATGAATAAAAAATTCGATGGAGCATTACCAAAAATATTAAGGCGGATCGAGGTGCAGGAGACCAAGGCGGCCTTCGGACGCGACTTCGACAGTGCAAGGGGAGGCTGTGGGCGTGTGGCGACCGCCGTCCCCGTCGCGAAGCCAAGGAAGAGAAGTGGGTCCCCGTGACGAAGCTCGGCGGTTTGGTGAAAGACGGTGGTTTTCTTGATGTACATATTGATCTTGTGTGAAGATGGCAGTGAAATAACTCGAAAGAATCTTAAA